AACAACAATATGAAAAAGCTATAGAAAATTATCGAATAGCAATAGAAGATTTCAAAGAAGGTTTGCCAGCTAGTCAACAAGATTATGCGCTATGTTATATGAATATTGGGTTCTGTTACGTCAATCAACAACAATATGAAAAAGCTATCGAAAATTATCGAATAGCGATAGAAGTTGTCGAGAAAGATGCGTCAACTAATCAAGAAAACTATGGCCTATGTTGTATGAATATGGGTGTATGTTGTTCGTGTATGGGAAAAAGCGCGTATGCTACTGGGATGAAGTATACGTTAAAAGCAATAGAAATTTATGAAGAGCATTATACAGACAATAAAAGCCATATTGCCAAATGTTACTTGACGTACGGTGTCATATTATTGAAACAAGGACAATATGATGAAGCCATCAATGCACTGAATAAATCGTTGAATTTTCTATTAAATGAAGATACAATAAATGTAGGCCTCTGCTATCATAACTTAGTTTGTTGCTATTATAGAAAACTCGAATACCAACAAGCGTTGTCATTGTCGGAAGTAGCCTTGGGATACTATGAAAAACATTTGTCAAATTTAACCAACGAAATTGGTGGATATCTATTAAATAATATCGCCTTATGTTTATTAAAATTGAATAACTATGATCAAGCTCTGGAATATGCAATTAGATCGCTTCAAATTATGGAGCAAATATTTCCATTGATACGTCTGCAGAAGGCAAAATCACACAGTACGTTAGCATTAATCTATTCAAAACAACAACCACAACAAGACGAAAAATGTAATGAACTCCGCTTGAAAGCATTAGAAATATCTGAACAGCTGATTTCGAATGGCGAAAAAATTGAAGGGATCGGCGATGTTTTTGAGCACATTGGTGAACTTTATATGAATCAAAGTAATCCGCAACGAGCTCGAAAATATTATAAAAAAGCATTAGGATATACAAAAAAAGATATGGTAGATGACCATCCCGAAATCCGACGTATACAGAAAATTATCGATGGATTACCAACAAGCCGAACAACCGACTAAATCATGCCATGCAAAAATACTATTAGCAATTATGAAATTATTTTAATCACGAACCTGCTTATATTTATTACCTTGTAGCATGTCTAAATCTTACTAATCAACACTGCACTAATGGTTTTTGGATGAAGTCTCATATTTAAATAGTGTTTTTTTATTTTAACATACAGGAAAGATGAATAAATATTGTGTGCTATCGTTGCCATCTCTTGTTCATGCCAATATTTTGAAAAATCCGAACTAGAATTCAAAATAACCATTTCTTCACATTTGTAATTTAATCACATCTATCTACTTTGAGCTTTTCTTTCTACAGTTTTTAACCAAGTTAATGTATTATTGGCAAAAAAGAGACAAATCAGTAAACAAGACTTGAAAATAATAAGGAACAGAATATACAGAAAAGTGAGCTGGAAATATCGAGCTCACCTTTTCTCGTGTTGAAACCAGTCATATTCGAATTTCTGTTTTATACGACAAAAACCAGCAAGATCGATGTAGTTGTCACCATGGACTGATGGCAATGCTCTTCCGAGAAAATGAGGGTGAGTATGTAGATAGAAGAGACAAATGTAAAAAAGCATCAGACAACCACTACGATGTGTTTCGACCTTGATGAAGGGCATTATCAGATAGTTTCTTTCTCTTCACTTCTCATGAAACGTATATATCGAATGTATGTTATCTCTAGTTAATTAACATAGGAATGATTTAATCAACAAGATTCAATGGGTTGTTTCCACGTGAGTTCTCAATCTAAGAGAGGTGGATGAGGGTGAGTCTAGCTACCATAACTAGTTTCACCTCGGCTATGAGGATCTACGCAAGTCTAAAATCAATATGATTAAAAATCACAAAGATATAATTAATACTGCTGCTTAACAATATCTTGTTACATAGTGTTAATATCATTTCACAGTGGTGAAAACAGCTACCATGATCTAGATTTCATCCCG